ATATGGGACTGGAGTTGAACTGGTGCTTGTGATGTAGATTTAAATCATCGATTCAAAAGGTTTTGACTCTTAAACATTTTGTTACCTATTTCTGGTATTTATTTAATTATACCTTATGCTGAATTGTTGTTCAGACAGGTAAGTTAAATATCTTAGATACAATTTTTTAAACTTTGATACTATAACAATCCGGATTGTTTTCTACATTTAAAATTTGGAATTAAAGAATGTATTTAACTGGATTATTTCATTACGTTTAGGCATTCTAGCAACTACACTTTTAATTGGCTTAATAATAAAATGTTATCTTGTGAAGAGATACGTATCTTCTTCAATTCGAGGACACTCTAGTATATTGCCATTAAGAGAGGACTTGGCTTTGCTCTGGTCAAATAAGTCCTTGGGTAAAAGTCGCTCCCACTGTTTCATTCATTTCCTGTCCAGTTGGAGGCTAGCCCTCTGATTGCTTCTGCTCCTGTGCCAATAAGGACACATACATACGAACACACACACACACACAGTGGGAGAGCTAGCACACGTATACATATATAATCCATTATAAAACTGTTTACATAAGGTTTCTTTAAATTGGTTTATTGTTGTGGCGTTGTGGAAGGGTGGATTGCAGGGGATGGGATGGCAGGGCGAACAACTGCTAAGCCCTTAAAGCAGCAAGCTACACAACCGCACGAAGGACCCTGGGAATTATTTTGATTCCGGGAGCCAGGAGCGCAGCCAGACCGTTGTCCACAGAATGTGTGGCCTCTAAGCGCCTGCCATTAATAATACAATTGTCGGGATTGCTGATAAATTGCTGTGGTTTGACAATTTGCACAGCAAAACCGCAAAACAAAAAAATGGCAAAAAAGTGAAAACAAACCGAGAAAATAACTATAAAATAAACAAAAACAAACGCTTTGACAGCTATATTTTGGTTACGTAATAAAATCAAATTATAACATCCAGCAATTTTATTGTAGTTTTTTTTGTATTTTGTTGCGCTTTATTCGTATTCGTTTATAAAATAAATCCCAATTGCAATTTCGGTAATTGGCGGTTCCACGTGACGTATGCGCAATTCATACATATACCTACGTCAATTAAAATTGATCTGCGATAGCGCAAAATTAATAGAAACGATTGTGACTTTATTATGAACATGGAAGGAGGTGTGGCCATCCCGTTCTGCAACGCCTCCCCATTTGAACAATTAGCGAAAGTCAATGTGCCCTATTGAATATTCATAGTGGTGGAAATATTTGCATGCACAACGTTGCGTATAAGCAATAAAAATGTCACGCACAAGTTGAGTTATATTTCAGTAATATGTAAAACAGAGAAGGATATACGGATTAAAGAGACAGAGAGAGAGAGAGAGTGGGAAATAGCGAATTGAAAACGTTAATTGAATTTGCCAGCGTTTGCTAATGATAATCATGAGCATGGTTTTCTCCATAAGCAAGCAAAGCCAAAATAAATATAGCAGGATGTGATGTGGAGCTATTGAATATCCTGGAAATAGTGACTTATTGAAAATTTTAAATAACCGTAAATTAGTTAAAGTTAATATATAGTATTTAAGGACACTGCAAGCTATCACATAAAAGTAAACTAATAGTTAAGCTGGTAATGGATTTCCGTAGATCTACGTCAAATATAATACTAAATTCCCGTGGGCTTGATATTAAAATACAACTGACTTGTCTTATTTAAAAACATGATATAAATACACAGTTATTGTATTATTGAAACAATTTTCACCTAGTTCCTAACCCCTCCATTATCCTATCATGCTCTTTGCTACCTTGCAGCTAATTAGTACAGGAGGACGCTCCCAGTCCAATCTTATTACGCGGCTCATTCCTCACCCTCTCGTTTCCCAGTCCAAATCCTGTTCCCGCCCCATGTCAAAGACAAGCCCAAGGTAATGTCACTGATTACGATTACTGTGTTGGACTTATCGCGTTCGTTACGTTTATGTTCCTTCGCAGTGTGAACTATGCGTTGTACAGCTCCCCGAAGTATGCTAAGCATTTCAGAAATTGAAATTTATAAAACGGCTAGGAGGCAAAATCTTGGCAGAAGGCAGCAAGCAGCCAACCAAATGTAATGGCAAGCAAGATTTTCTCCAGTCTATGGCTTCAATTTGCTTTTACGAGACTGGAGGAGGAATATCCGTAAACTATTTGCTGGGGAGGAAGTGTCCCGTGGAATTTCAACAATCTCGGCTGTGTTTGCAGCATCATTTGCGAAATGTAATTGCCGCAATTACCGTAAATTTGTGTTCTGAATTGTTGTCGCATTAAAGTTAATTTCAGTTGTCTTTTGTTTTGCCACTATTTTTAGAATTAGAAAAGAAGAAACTTTCCCTTTTTTGGTTGGAATCAAAACAAATTTGTCATTCGCCAAGCGACGACGGCCTGTTGCATATAGTTTGAAAAGGAGCTTTTTCTACTTTCTCTCTTAACTTTTCGCGGCACTCTCTCTTTATTTTTGTGCCTAAGAGAGCCAAGTTTTTCGACCAGTTTTTGGCCGAGTCTCGATTCTGGCTTTGTCCATTATGTTAAGTGCGCCAGCTACACTTTGATGCTGCCAATGCCTTCGCATTTTGCCTTTGCACATTAGGCTGTTGATGGTTATTAGGCGAAAGTAGTTGGACCCCGCAACCTTGGCCAAGTGTTTTGGGGCTCGAGCTGCGGATAATGCCAACAAAGGTGGGGTGGCAAAAAATATTGCACTTTTTTTCGCCGTAATGGAATTAGAACAGACTCTCGGATGTGAGGCTCAGGATGCAGGCTGTCTGCGATACTAATTGGATCCTTTTCAATTGGATTAACGTGTTGGGCGGGCAGGATGGGTAACCAAGTCAATTTCTAAGAAAATTCCTTGACGGCAAGGACCCAAAGTAATACATAATATAATATAATATATGTCACACGATACATGTGAGGGACTTAAGGTAGTGAATTAATTCCTCAGCTTTACTTATAAAAGGTATTTACTTATTGGCATTGCAATTTAAAGAGAAGGTATCAAGTGCTTTACGTTTTTTATGAATATTTTGTAGGCTTTGCAGAATTTGTATCTTCATAACTTATAAATGAAAGATAATACATTTTTTTTTGTCTTATATATATACATGGTTTATAGTAGTAAGAATTTATTTTAATTTTAAAAGCAGAATTTTATTTAACACAAAATATAGTAAGCAGTATTTTGTTGTATTTAACAGAAAATTAAAATGTGATAATAAAAACCAAATCAGGCTCTTCTGTTCCCTTTTAATTTGTTCTAAGAAGAAAATGGAATTATATTTATACAAGAGGGGCCAAACGCTCATAAAATCATATTTTTTTGTTTAAAACCAAAAGCGGCTTATTGAAATTACATTGTTGGGAGGCATTGAATAAAATATCAGAGTATTTGCACTGTAAAACTATTTCATAAGAAAGTAATAAAGCAAAATTTTATTTCAAACCTCAAATCAAATATTAAATGCGTAAGGCTCAATTTATTTCCTCGAGCAAATACAAGCCAAATTGTAAGCGAAAGGAGAAATTGGCCTACTCACAAACAATTGCCATCATTTGAGTGCTGGGAAAGCCAGACAAGCCACAATTTGTTTTGCACTATTTGAGTTAAGCCTCGCCTTTTCTGCCAAAGACAAAGTTGCGTCATCTTCCTTTGTTTTGGGTAGATACGTGTTTAAATGAAAAGTTTCCCAAACCGAAATCACGAACGTAAATCAGTTAACTTGTAAACAACATAGAGGGAATCGCACTCACACACACACACACCTGTGAATCTTGGCTGGGTGTTATCACAAAAACTTTTGCACATGTCTCCTGTCACCTCATTTGCAAAATTGAAAGCCAAAACTTGGGTGAAAAGTTGGCAAGGATGCCAAGGGATGTAGGTCCTTCTACATCTTCTAGCATGTTGTCTTCTGTCTCTTGTTTGATGTAAAATAAATTGACATTTAGTTGTCGATGTACCCTCAGCACTTTCCCTCCTCTTAAATCCAGATTTTGCCAAGGCAATTTCTGCCTGCAAGTGTCTAAACGTGTTAATAGATTTCCAACGTTGTCAAGTTTATGGAAATATTTAGTTGCATATTTAAATTCAGATCGCAGCCTCAGGCTCACAATGGCACCTCCTCGCACAACCCACCTCGATGTTGACACATTTTGGGTTACCTCTGCAACTGTTTCTTGATGTATGTTGCCACACGAACCTGCCCCCCGGTGGCTTTTCTCCGGCTTTGCTTGATTTTGTCGGAACAGACTCCTTTCAGGACTTTCAGGACTCTAACTGCTGCCGTTTCTCCTGATTGCATATCTGTGAAACAACATCGACAGTATGCTTTGCTTTCATTTAGCAGAAAGCGCCTTGTGGGAAATGCCTGTTATCGTTAGAAACGCCTTTCAATATGCATTGCATTTGCATTTCTAATTTCTTTTCCTGCCAGGAGCGATGCGTTCTTGATCAGGCAGGAGTCAAATGAGGATATATGTATTTCCTCTCAATTACTATAGGCCATGGAACTCGGATTTTAGTACTGCTAAAAGGGCATTCAGTTAAATTGAAGTGAAGTCTTAATAGGAAACTTGAACTACATATATTTGATAGCTTGTTTTAGGATATTTACTAAACCATTCTAATTGTATAGTGATTAATCTTTTTGCTCACAAAGTTTTCAACTAGAAGTAATATTAAAACTACTACTAGCCATGGAAATTTCTTAATAATGTTGTTGCATCCACAACCATATTTTTGTACTCTAAGCAGACCATTTATTAAATACCTTATAATACCCTTGCAGAGGGTATTATAAGAAGTTAGCTTTTCTTTCTTTTTTATTTTAGTTTTAATATTCAAAAATATTTCATACTTCAACAGTGCGATTCATAAGGACTTGGGCCTTATCATCATTTCAACGAACGTCAGTGATATCAACCAGTCGTAGTTATGCCATGAGTTCCAATGAATTCCTGTTTGACCTATGCCATATTCGGAGTATTCTCCATTGAGAGTACTGTAATTTTAAGTGATAATAGTAAGAAGATTTAATAAAAGCATAAATAAACAGGTATACCTGGCTGAACACTCTTTGTGCCACCATGCACCAAAAAAAGAGGCACAATTTGCAGATCTATGACTGTCATTATCCCGATCAAATGTGGAGAACTTTTGATTCTTACTGTATGTAAGGGAGTCTCCGGCTTCACCAGAATAATTCCCTAGAGTCTTCAACTTGTAGGCTTCCTCCTCGCTCCCGATCTTAAAGTCATCGTATTGCGCGTAGCTGGTGGATCCATTAACATTCCCAAGTTTAATGTAGAGTTCGTGGGGTCTTGCCTCAGTCATCCGATGCAATTTTTCCAGCCCGATGAAGAATTCTCCTCTGACATTCCCAAATCCATATTTATAATCATGCCACTGTCTTTTGAAGTTCTCGGATCCGTCCATGCGTCTCTGAATTACAGTCCAACCAGGTGGAGACGTCGCACATGGCACTTCAAAGGGTTTAAGACCCCGAAGCTTTATTTGGTAAATCCCATTGGGACTGTCACTGGGACAAGAGTCAGGTAAATTGTCATCAGTTTTCCGCAATTCAGAAAACTGACTAGAAAGTTCTGATTTTGTTTTCTCAGTGGCTTCAATTTGAGTCGTAAGGGTCGAAATTTGTTCATCTCTATTTTTAAGGTGCTTCTCTTTCACATTTAATATATCTTCTTTGTTTTTGGTTTGACCATCGGATATTTTTAACTTACTCTGCAGGTCTTTTATAGTGTCTTTCAAAGTATTTATTTGGATTTTGAGTTCATCGTTGGCATCGGCTGTTATTTTCATCTGTAATATGGAACAGGCGATAAAAAATAATGATGCTTGCATTCGTTTTCAATATTTTAATAATAATTGATTGACTATTGATAACATTGCCAGCGTCGACAAGTTAGCTTTCCTTTCTTGTTTATACATTAAATTTACCTATAAACTGAGATAAGCAATTTTGATGGAATTTCTAAGATTTCTATTTGTCTGTCAGTCTGAATGTCTGTCTGTATGTCTCCTATCAGTAACTCACCGTCCTAAATTCCTCCATTCTGTCAAATCGCGCATCCAGCTTGGCCTGCAGAGCCTGAATTGAATTCACAAAGTCTTTTTTTGTGATGAGTTCCTGCAGTTGGTTCTTTATTTCGGAGTTTACCGCCATTTGTTGTTCTTCCGCCAGCTTGAGTCTCGAATCGAGTCCGGCCTGCAGATCCTTCTGCCCTGCCTCGATTTCATCCAACCTTTTTCGGATATTGCGAGAGTGGTCGAAAAGCGGGTTCAGTGCGGCCAGGCAAAAGGAGCCACACTGTCTTGGTTCATCTTGGAGAACGCACAACGACTGATCCTTTGGATTGGACGCAATTCCTCCTTGTACACTTGTAAAAATGAATAGTCCAAGCAAATAGGATAATAGCCTCAGCATATTAAGATGTTCCATCTACTCAAATTGAATTCAAAAAGTGTACTGAAATGTAGGAATAAGTGAAGAAACAACGAAGCCTAAAATATTGCTGATAAGCCCCGTGAACATTCATTTTCCGTATGTATGGCACGTTGTCTTCCTAATCTCTGGTCCGTTGGCCGAAAATCGGAAGAAACCAGATCGCCTAATTATATACATCTGTATGGACTAGCATATAAATATAAATGAGCTAATGTTCTTATCGCTTATTTGCGATTTATTTTTTTTAATCATTTAGAAACCAAAAAAAAGCGGGAAATAAATATATTTTTTATTTTCATATTTCATACTTTATAACTTTCTCATCGTCTTTTTCCTCCAAAGCATCCCCTTCATTGCATTAAAACAATGATTTTTCCCATCTATTTCCCAGCATACTTTGCATTTTCCACTGAAATGCTTTCCCTGACTAGTTCAAAGTCACCCTCCGCTGAGTTTGAAGCTCCGCACTGCGAGAGGTGGTGAACCCAATATAAAAATCATTTGCCGTTCTTTATAAGTATGGCCAGCGAAGGAAAAACAAATACTTGCACTTGATTTTTATTCATGACTTCATTTAAATGGAAATTATTAGTGTCATTTGTAGCGAGACCCCAAAAAAAAGCAGACAGTGAAATGAGAATTCCGAATATCTCATAAAATGGCATTTAGGCCAAGGGGAGAAATTGTCAGAGAAAATGAACCATGGCAACCATGTCGCATGTGACCTTGGCTAAGTTTTCCTTCGACGCCCGGCCCTTTCATTTCCCCCTGGGTCCCAGCTGTCCTTCCTGGACGTGTTCTTGTTTTTTTCCGCCTTGGTTTTTGTTGCTTTGTTTGGCAGGACCCTCAACCATAATGTTTGCATAATTTACTTTCGTTTGCGCTTAAAGGTTTTCAAATTACTTTTTAATTTGGTTTTTCCGTCTTGAGTTACGTGCACAAAACGGCGATGAATGGCAACAAAAACAAGTCAAATAAATATGCAAATTTGTTCTTTCCTGTTTTCGAGAGTTTTATTTATTGAAAAATGGTTAAGTAAGTGATGGCTTTTGGGTGGGGTTGACTACCATATTGAGCCACCTTTCGATTTTGGGAATCGATTTTGTGGCTCTTGCCGTAAAATCAAATTTATGGTGCTCCTTTAAGAGCAATTATCCTGATACAACATTATTTTTAAAACAATTACATCATGGACCATCCCAGCGAGCATTATTCACAGGCTTGCCGAACACTTTCATTGATTGCTCCTTTCTCTACCAAACAAAAGACATATTTTCCGACAAAAGAATTGCATCGAAGGGAGCGCAAGGTCTGGCTGCGATTAATATTGCAGAATATTATTAATTATGCATGCGACACAGGGTAGAAAATGGGAATTCCGGTGTCTGCTTCGGCTCAGATAAAAAGCAGCAATAATGCAGCTCAGAAACCAGCGCAGGGAAGAAGCTCAACGAAACTTTGGAAACTTTTACTTTCAACAGCGACGGATATTTGATATTTATGTTGCACTGTCGGTGTCGAGAACTTTGCCATCTACGTGGCACCAGCAATAAGTCTCTGCAGCCGACTGAACTGCTACACAAGACATTTTAATCAAATTTTGTATCAATATTTGAACGACACAATTGCTCTTGGCAAACTAATTTCGAAATTAGATTTTTATTATTCATAATATAAACGAATTAATTAATTTATCAGTCTAATAAGTTTTGTGTAAATTTTGTTGATTTGCTTAATGTTATTTATAGACATTTCTGTCAATTAAACAGATTAGTATGATAGGGATCTCCAGAGATTTTCAGTTTAAACGCTCTTTAAAATTCCATTTAAAATGGGTATATAAAAAACACATTCATTCGTTTTTTCTCTGTGTAATTTAGAGATTCCCGCACTCCATGGCAATAGCCAAACAATGATAAACCTCAGGAGCCTCTCACTGGCGATGTGGAGAGGACATTGGCAGAGTCTCGACAAGGGCTCATTTGTAATTCAACTCGGCCAGGACATTGATGTGTGAGTGGCAGCCTTGCACTTGGCATGTGTCTAAGTATGGGGGCGGGTATCAGTGTGTGTGTGTGTGGCCTGTATCCTTGCAATCCTTGCAATCCCTTCTCGTTGGTGAGCACGTGCTTTAGAGTAGCCAGTTGCTGGGGTATAGATATAGGTGCCTAATGGCTGTGCCCCAGTTGGCTCTATTTCAATATGGATGGATTGCTGGGTGCTTAGCTTTCGACCAGCAGCAAGTCATGCATAATGTCACTCGAGTTCTCGAAATCCTGGCCCTCAGAAACGCACCCTTTCTCTCCGAGGACCTCCATTTGCTCGCTGTACCTGCGGTCTTGTCAATTTGCTGCAATTACTTCGGTTGCCGTTTGGCATAAATTAATTGCAATACGGTACCCACTTGATATATGCGACGTATTAAGGCCTCGTTGCCACGTAATTAAAATTGTGCAATAGTAAATCAAACTGATGTGCGTGTGTGGATGTGTGAAAGGCAATTTAAGTGACATTAATGGTTTGCAGTTAAGATTGATTCCAGTTGGGGCTTTGCCAAACTTTAGCACTGTAAAATGAAAATGTCCTTTCACGTTAAATTTATTTATGGAAAAAATCAGTATACGCAAATAATGCCGATTTCCAGGCCACAAATGAAAACCCAACTCAAAGAGCATTTTAAGTATTTAAAGAATACATGAAGATTAAATTTATCTTATTTAAAACTACAAAGTTGTAACTATATATTTAATAAACTTACTTCATTTAATGTATATTTTATGTTAATACTTATACACTTGTCGTAACTTCAGAAATATAGCAATCAATAATTTTTTGGTGTACTTCTTTGGGCTCATCTGGCACTTGGCTCAATTCGAATATCCATTGACGCCAAATGTCAAATGAATAACCAAACAGCTTTACAAATAAATTCCAGGAACTGCAAATAAAGAAACAAATAAACAAACAAGCAGAGGGCGTAAAGAAAACACGTAAATAGGAAAATGCTTTGGCCAACGAAAATGTTGAGCAGCAAGCTGAAAGGCAAATAAAAACAGAAAGCTGAAATCAGAAAGTGAAAAGTTGTAAACAAAATGCGTTGTATTAACGGAAATACCGCCCTTTTCTCCCAAAAAAAAAAATCGAAAGAAAGCACACACTCCCCGAAATTTATGTGCAATCAGTCCGACACGTATGTTGTACGTGGGTGTGTGTTGATGTGGGCGTGCCCCCCTCGACCACCGCCCACCACCCACCGCCCAACATGTCCTGTTCGACATTGACACCCGCAAAGAATCGGCCAACAGCGAATGCCACTAAAACCAAAAGCCCAAAAATGCCAAGAGCAAAAACAACAGCAGCACTGACCTTTAGGGATAAGATGGTGGGCGTGGAAAGGGGCGTGTGTCGGTGTAAATTGCGTGAGTGTGTGTGCGAGAGTGGAATTGTTAGGCATACATGTGAACCATTCCATTTGTCATGCGTTTCTGTTTATTTTGGCAAACGCACATTACACCGGACAACAGGACCCTCAGAATTTGACAGCTTTGAATTTCAAACTGTCAATAGATTAGATTTTAGATTTGGAAATTATGCTGAAATGGATCAAATCCAGTCTGTATAAACTCTTTTTCACATTGGAAACTGAACATTTGAGTTTACAAATACTTAAAGGTAAATTTTAAAATGGTAATAATTGTGTATATTACAGTTTTGTCCATTTTTGAATCTTCTAAATAAATATAAATACTTAATATTATTTAAAAATTTTTGTATTATCCATTCTGATATCAATCAATGGAATTCTCTTTCAATAAAACCATTATGTTGTAGTTCAGTGTGTCAGACATTTCAGTTGGCGCCTTTTTTCTACGGCCATTAATATGATTTTTATGCCCTGTTGTTGTGGGTACTTTGCCCCAAAGTTGTTTGCTAATGTGCTCGGTATTTGTGGATATGACAGTCCCTCGAAAAGTGCGTCCTCAGCCCCGTAGCTCACTTCGTTTATTACTTTCTCCATTTCGTTGTGCAATTAGCGTTGTTTAAAGCCTCGAAAGCATTACGTATACGCACAGTGGCCGGCCTGATAGGTCGAATGCCAATTACACAACCGCAAGCAGCACCACACACCCACACTTCGGCGGCCTCCATTTACAGTCAATTATGCAAAATAAGCACATCAATATACACGCACACACACACACACACAATCACTACCTGAACTACTGAGCTCGTTCTCATTCACCCCTTCTCTCCCTTTTCCTCCATAAACCCCTGTTCTGAGTCTGTGAAATTGGTTTGTCCATAATGCAATTGGAAAGCCAACATTGTTGGCCCGCAGGGACTGGGGAATCGGGGTCCTGATCTTTGCATTAACGCCCATAATTAACGAAGCTGCTCGGGCCAGATATGAAAATCGATTAGCCATTCCAGTTCGAGATTAAAAGTACCTAACAGACAGCCCTTTAAAGTGGGTAATTTCCATACACGAGTAAATATGGTGTTAACCTGTAACTTATAAAAATTGAAATTGGATATACAAATATATACGACTTTTTAATTTATTAACATTTGCTTAGGGTTTTAAAAATTCAGATTACTATTAAGTAGCAACATTGGATTAAACACCTTAAACAACTACATTCTCAGTCATCTCATAAACATAATTGTATAGATTTCTATTTTTAAGATTCAATTTCTGAGTTTCACCTGAGGTTTTCTTTAAATTTTGTATATTAAATACCGCTTTGTACCATATCTCGTATGCAACACCTCTCTTATTACCCCTTTTTTTAAGACTGAGTGGCCAGTCTCCTGCGCTTTCATTTATTCATTTATGGATAAGAGTGCCTCATGATTTTCCACGCCCTCCCACTGTCTTTTATGGGTCTGCTTTTTGAGTTTGGTTTCTGCAGAACACCAGGGGAATAATGCAAGTTATGTCCGGCAAACAATGAGAACAATGGGACCCACCTTTGCATAAATAAAAGAGCGGG